CTGAAGTAGATATAAATCTAGGCTGCAAGTGACACAATAGAAAATTCTGAAAAACAGGCACAGATGGGATTGGAATGGGGGAAAGACTACACTTCTTTTATTATTCCCTAATCATGGAACCATGGGAAACACTGAACTAGGAGGAGAGAAGGGCAGAGAGTGGGGAAAGTTTATAATTTCTCTCTAGGAAATCCAGGAAATATTTTTTGCTCCTGGTTCTTGGATGACAGAACAAAAGGAAACAAAGAGTTTATAAATTTCAGTAATATTGAACATAGCCTCCCTGTCCAGCATATTAACTACTAGAAGAAGTTTGCTGGTTCTATTATGGGAGAGTTCAAATGAAGAGAAGTGTTGTGAGTCTCATTCCTTTCTTAAACTGGGATATGGGATGAAGACACATGGTTATCAGAATTGAACTTTAAGAGCAAAATATCGCATTGGAGACTATTTTGTGCCATGTCCTCCACTTCCCAAGCTCCTTAAATTATTATAATTACAGAAGAATTTAAGATACAGCCCAGACACAACAGGGTCTTGTAGACTGGCAACTGAAAGCTGAATTTTCTCAAAACACTTTTTTTGGGCTGATATGGACGATGCACAGATGCAACAGAGCTTTGGTTTATCTTGCTTCAAAGGCAAACAGTAGCAAGTGAAGCAGCAAAAGGCCTTTGAGAGGCAGGTGAATTTGTGAGGTTTGTTGACCATCTTTTCATCTTATAAGAAATAAAGGAGGAATTACTTCAATAGCAGTCAGGTGGCCAAAAGAGGACAAGAGACATTGAATGTGTGGCAATATCTGAAACTGTATACTAAACTATCTCGTATTTGCTTGGCAATGAGAAAAAATTGGCCTACATGCTTTCTCTTTCTCTCTTCCTCTCAGAGTAAAAACAGGACAGAAAACAAAGTAACAAAGCTGTAAGGAAATGATTCGTTGATAGGTGCTCCACTGCAAACACGGCTCTAGAGGATTTAATTTTTCTAGAGAAAAAGTGGGAAAGCATTTTCATACTACATTTCAAACTCAGCTCCAAACTCAAATCACCAGCCTTCTGCACCAATTCTCAGGTCAATGTCACGAATTTCCATTTCAAAATAGCAGCCTGTTTTTCCACTATAATCCTTACTCACCCAGTCTTTCTTCCCTTGCTCCAGTTACTGTGGTAAGAACAAAATACTTGTGTAACTTCAAGCACATGAATAATCCACTAAGGTCCTGTCCTCAGTACTGTCTCTTCCTTGTTACACTATACTGTGTTTTTTCATGTCTTCAAATTCACTCTATTACAAAGAAAAAAGCGGGCAAAAAGGATGATAAGGTTGGTTTTTTTAATGTTACATATAGAAGAAACTACATTTGAAGTCTCTTCTCCTGGGCACAGAGTTCAGAGGCAGTCTTGAAACTCAAGACTCTATTGGGACTGTATACAACTCTCTGCTTAATAAAGTAAATGCAAATATAAATTCTCTTAACATTTGACTTTTGTTCTGTTCATCTGCATGTTTTATTGCTACTGTTAGGAGAAACCCCAAACCTAACTCCATTGCTTTATCATCCATGTTGAATGCTTTGAAAAAGTAGACTTCATTTTGGGCAATCTTTCCTGTTACTCCAACATTACTCTTGGCCTGCTCTATAAGAAAAAAAAAATCTTTAGCTGAACTGGAGTAGATATTCAAGAGCAGTAATGTCTTGATTTCCCCTCACACAATACTACATGGTTTCACAAAAAGGTCTGGTCATTTGCTCCAGGTTTTTACGTACACATTGAAAAGCATAATCAGAAAGAGTCTAAATAATGCCAAAATACTTGTGTGGGTTTCTTTCAATTGAAGACTGTAAGAATTCTGACAGTTGCACACAAAGTGGATTAACATAAACATTATGTTACTTTCATTGTAATAATAGTAACAATTTAATGTAATCAGTGCAGTGATGGAATAGTGAGTCATTGCTTTAGGAAAATGACCAAGGAGTCTGGATAAAGCTAACACTGTAGTCAATGAAGATTGCCTGCCTTTAGAATACATCAGGAATTAATGAGACTTGTCTCCACTATTTGAATCGTAGACAGAGACACTCCACTTTCAAGGCCTTGTTTGCAGTGAGGCATTAGTTAGATCAATTCTACCCCTTACCAGACAGCTCAGTCTGGAGCAGTAAAGCACACTAGCCTTCAGCAAGTCGTTGTCCAAACCCCTCCTTGGTAAACGAAACAGAAAAGGCCAGTGCTTTATTCAGCCCTGCTGTTCCATGCCACAGGGAGAGGCACAGACATTACTGCTACTTGCTACTGCAAGAGAGGGGAGAGTTATGGGGAAAAAAACCAAAAAATAAAATGAAAAAGAAAGAAAAAGAAAAAGCATAGTTCATGGCTGCTAATTAAGTTCACTCTCCTTGTGGAACCTACTTCTGGGGTGAGGTAATTCAGAGGATCCTCATTTGTACAATAGAATTTTCTCCTAACTCCTTTCCATGCAAGACCTGTTTTTCCCTGCTTCTTTGGGTCTGAATGACTAAGCTTTTCTACAGTCTTTTTTCAAGCAAAACCTCTTTGCTTCCGCCCAAAGAACAGTTAGAATAACTAGTCCTTTGTATTTTAAGTTATTCATTAAAGTTAAATGGCTTTATCTTCAAGCTTGTCCTAGGGCAACTATTATAACGTTAACCTTTTTATAGCAGTGAATTCAGGTAAGTTCCTCAATTTTCTCTGAATTTGGTCAGATACAAATATGTATGACTATGTCCTTGCTATCGTTCACAGTTGTTGCCTCAATACCTATTTTGATTTCCCAAAGCAACACTGAACATCAAGGGGAAAAAGGTCACAAGCCATGAAAGGCAGTTTCAGAAAGACATGAGTGAATCTCATCACTTTTTCTTTTTTCTTTTTTTTTTTTTTGTAAGACAGTGATCCTCAATACCCTGTCCAGATACAACTGGATTATTGTACTTAACACAAGGATAACAAAAAAACACCCAAACCAAACAGACCAAGCCCTAATCTTGCTTAGCAGAGTCTTTACCCCAGCCACATATTCTCAACAGATCACCACCTCCAAATCTCTCCCAGATCTGGAGTGCTCCTTGGCAACCTCACCTAGAAAGCAGATTCTTTTCTTCTTTAGTTTCGCTTTTCAAATTAGGATCTTCGAATGCTTTCCTAAAGCTCCTTTCCAAAACAAAGATGTGAAGCTCATATCTAAAAGCCAAGGGACATTTACACAAATCCACTGGGTACAATTAGGCAAATTAAGACTTAAGCAATTTCTTGTATCCATTGCTACATGTAGTTCTTTGCTTTGGCAATATGAACCAAATACTGTTAGGTTTAATTACTCAAACCACTACAGAATAATTTTAAAACATGTTGTTGTCTCTTCCACAAGATGGAGTGCAGTGATAATATCTGAGGATTTTCAAAGTGAATCAATATATCATATCTCCCCTATGCTAGAAAAACCCTTTAAAAACTTTATCCAACCACAGCAAGACAAATCAGAAGCCCCTGTAGGGCAGGTTAGATGTGCCTAATTTAGCTGGGTGGAGTTCAGAGTGCATCCCAAAGAACGAAGTTTTTTTTCAGGTCTTTTCTTTTGCATTCAAAATGAGCAGCAGAACTCAAGAGTGGTGAGAATTGAACTCTGACAGGAGATTGCAACCAAAAATAGTGCTCACATTCACTTGTAAAAAAAAATTAAGAATAAAGGAATAACTTTACTTAGTCAAGAATTTTGTAAAGAAGACAGAAAGAATTGCTTTTTCTCTGCCTTGCAGCTCCCAGCCTTGTGGGTGCAGGGCTGCCGAACTCAATCAAGAGTTGAACTCCTCAGAAATCAAAGCAATATCAGTGCTTTGATTAGATGTAGCTGCTAGCATTCTGCTGGCATCCCATCAGCTGTGTGCTTAAGAGATCCATTTGGGAGAACAAGAAGCTTCCTTATTCTCTTCTTTAATGGTCTGAGTTCACTGCGCAGATGCGATCTGATATAGAGAGAGACGTGTTTGCTGGCAATCAGGTAGATGCACTTTGAATAGAAATAGGGATCACGAAAGACTCTTCCTTCAGACACCAAGCTTTGTCTTTGGCCTGAAATTATCATCTGTGGCCTTGCCCTTCTCAGAATCAGTAGTCACCCTATCCCAGTTCGGAAGTGGTATGGATGCCAATGCCACATATTGTGCAACCTTAGCATAGCAACTATAGCAATCCTTTTTGGTAGATCCTCCTTACCAAGTTAGCTGTGTGGGCAATGAGGAGACGTAACGGCTTGTCTTAGTCCTTAAAAATCAGCTGGAACAACTCTAATAAAGTGACTCTTAGAGATACATTAATTCCCCCTTTCTGTACACCAGGACTGCAGTACCACTAAGCGCATACCGCATTTATGTCCCTGCATGGCAGGAGGCTTGGTGCCCCTTTGTATTTGTTAGTCCTGTTCCTCAGCATCTTTTACCTGGATTTTTAAGGAGACGCCTCTAACTTTACAGGAACAGCCTGCTCAGCGCTGGGCAGTGAGAAATGACCCGGGGGCTTGCGGATCTGCTGAGCCCAGCCTGCGCCGCCCGCGGGAGCGGGGCACGGGGGCGGCGCGGCCGCTCCGCCGGGAAGCGCCCACGGCCACCGGGGGCGGCGGGAGCCGCTCGGCCGGAGCGTGCGCGCGCCCCCGGGAGGCGGAGCCGCGGCGCGGGCGGGGCTCTGCGGCGGCGGCGGGCGGGACGGGCGGCGCGGGGCGCGCTGCTGGCGGGCGGGCAGGGACGGAGGGAAGGGAGGGAGGCGCTGGCTCGTCTGTCTGCTCCTCGGTCCGCCGGTTCTGCGGCGCTGCCCCGGCAGCAGAGCCGCCGCCGAAGCAAATGGGGAGGCAGCGCTGAGCGGGCTGCCCTCGGCAGGAGTCGGCAGCCGAGGGCAGCGGCGTGGCGGGCGAGCAATGCCCCTCACTCCTCTGCTTACGCTGCCCTTCCTCCTTCTCCTCCCGCTCCCGGCTTTGAAGCTTTTGTTTTCCCCGGCCACTGTGATGGCAGGAAACTTCCCGGAGGGATGGGCTCAGGCCGGGCTTGTGCTGCGCCGGGCTCCGCAGGGCTCCGGTCACATCGTGAGGTGAGGCGAGGCGAGCGGCGGCGGCGCGGCCGCGGCAGCTCCGTGGGACCGGCTGCTGCTCTGCCCGGCCGAGGGGCGGCGGGACGGGCGGCGGGAGCGTGGAGAGAGTTGCGCTGGGGACCGCGGGGTGCGCCCACGGCTGTGCCGCTTCTCCCGGCCGCGGTCCCACCGCCGACAAGGCGTTCTAGCCCCGGGGATTAATGGCAGTACTGCTCAGGGGTCGGCGTCCCGAGGAGGCGGCGTGGGCACCGGGAGCCAGGCGCCTGTGCTCCCGGCGGGGCCGCCGGAGCCATCGGCTGGCGGTGGGGGCGGCAGCGCTGCCGGAGCCGGGTGGGCGCGCTCGGCTCGGCCGGGTCCCGGGGCCCGTGGAGCCGCCTGTGGGGGCTTCCTCCTCCCCCGGCGGCGGTGGGGCCGCGCTTCCGGCCAGGGTTCCGTCCCGGGAGGCGGCCTGGATCCCACCGGTTCCCCGGGACCGACGCTCCGGGACACTGCTCGCAGGCACGGGGGAGCTGTCTGCTTGCTGTCACCTGCTCATCGGGCTGCTGCTTGTGCTCAACTCTTAAACCTGCCGGTGTCGGTGCGGTGTGTACGTGTCCCTCCTAGAAAACTAAATAGAAACGTCTCGCTTGGTTTTGATTGTTTTTCATCTACTTAAGAGAGTATGTGATTTTTGTTTGGGTGTGCCACATGATTTTCCAAACTTGTTTTGTAAAAGTCAAATGATACAGTGCAGCCTATATATATATAACAAAGCATATGATTAAGTTTTTCTTGTAAATTAACAAAAACACTTTTCCAAGGAAACAGTTCATTTACAGAAAGATACAAGGTAACATAGGAATTTTCAGTAGTTAGAGCTAGGCATGGCTGGAAAGTTAGATCCGTGCCCAAGAAGGCTGTTAAACAAAATTTTCCTTACTGAAATGGATAATGAATGCTTAAGCAGTGACAAATGCGTTTTACATAATGCATTTTCTGTGGTACATCTTGCACATTCTAACATTAGAGCAAAAGCGTCAGAAGCATCGAATTGTGAAAAGGGCAGTTCTAAATAGTTCATATCAAATTTACTGCAAATGTAAAGAAATGTCAAAGAGACTTGTTTCAAGATTGGTGACACAGAATAGCTGCATGTTGTCAGTTGTCAAATATGGGGTTTTTGTTGTTTTTGTACAGTTATCTGTTGTGAAAATGTATGTACCAACGTTGCTGTAGCTCCAGCATAACAATATAGACCCACTAGTAATTACATTCTTAGCCTACAGAAGCAAATTTGGTAATGACTAGTGATTAGAAGAAGAATAATTTCTGAATAACTTCCCTTTGAAATATGTACTGCCAAATGATCAACACTCTAAAGTACATTCTGTTAGCTATTCTACCTTACTCCTTTATCAGAGAGTAGCCTTACTGTTAAGAACGTATTCTAAATGTATAAAACTTTTTTTTTAAGTGAGAGAATAAATGAGACTCTGGAAATTAGTAGTTCATATGCAATGTCTGCCTACTCAGAGGAAACAGGAAGAAGGCTCTACGAGTTTCTAATTTTCTTCTTGTGCGCTACAATGCGTGGGTGACTTGTCAGGTGCTGCTGATCAGGCAATGCTTGTGTGCTTCATCATTGCATTTGCCACTTTTAAAATATTCCTCTAGGAACAATAGCAGATAAAGCTTGGAGAGGCTGTGATTGTTACTCTGCAGTTAATGCAATTCACTCAAGACCATTTTCTGGTTCTGAAGCAAGTGCTGTGGGTTAGCCTTTGTCAATGCTGCTTAACTCTCTTGCCTTCCAGAACAGGAAATTTGCATGAGAGAACTGTAGCTGGCCTGTGTTAGAAGGATGCTGTGCTGATGTGTGGCAGCTCAACAGTCTGTGTGACAGTGAATTCCATTTCCAGGGAATGATTCCTGGCATTGCTTGGTTTAATGGTGTGGACTTAGTCTATCTGTTATGTAGTCTATCTGTAGGTAGCCTCCCTTAAATCTGTATTCAATCATAGTGATCTGATTTCCCTGCGTTGAGGATCTTTGGCACTATAAAATGCTGCTTTTCATAGTCAGCTGCTTAGAAGTGTCAGGGCTCCTTTCTTCCTTTTTTCTCTGCTTGTGCATGTGGGTGAAGAGGGAGTATGTGAAGGCTTGGTGGTTTTCCCACTTGTCCATAAGGGAGAGGTAAAGAGGATCAGGAAGAGACTTACCTGACTTTTTCTGGTTGTCTGGGAATGTGCTCCCAGGGCAATGCATGTCCCTAAGCAGTCCTGATGGCTAGATCTAAAGGTCCATGGTCTGCAGTTACAACTTCCATAATTATTTTTGTTACAAGTAGCAGGTTGGGTTTGGTTTTTTTGTTTTTTTTAATGCTCCAAAGGATGTCAGACTTAGTTGTTAAAGATTAGGTGAGGCAAGAGGAAGTGTAAATATCATCTAAGAAATTCTACTTGTAGTACCCAGAAGGAGTTTCAGATTGAAAATTGTCAGGTTGCGCTGCCTCTCATAGACGCATAAAATACTTTAATAGAATGGTGTACTTTTTATCTCAGTAATTTGCTGGCAGTCTTTATTTTGCTAGCCTAGCTAGTAGCACGGTTTGTACTTGAATGGGAAAATTGTTTAACTATCTCATTTCCAGCTGAGGGTAATACTTAGATACTTACGTAAACCTGTAGTATGTAATGGGACTGGATTAATGCTCTAAAGTTTCCCAAATAGGCAGCTTGGCACAGTGAAATTCCTGTTGATTTCCTTAGAATGAAACCTTAGAAAATGCAATTATTACTATTGAGCTATTTCTGTGTGCCATTTAGGAGAAAGCTGAGCTATCTTTTTTTTTTTTTTTTATCCCTCCTGTGTAAAAGCACTGGTTCTGTAAGGTGTATTTACACTTAAACATATGTTGGAGGTATCTAAGGAGTCCCACTGGTTTGAATGGCACTTTGAGAAATCTCGTGCATAACTGTAACCTAATTTACCTCAATCTAGATGTTTATTATACA